GTTTTGGTTTATCAGGTAATAGAAGTGCATTATATTCTTTTGCAACTATTGCTTTCACATATTTCTCCTCTTTAACATCCTGAGCATCAAGATATTGCTCTAATCTTTCAGTCCATGAATGCCAAGCATCTATGTCTAGATCAAAACCATTCAGTTGTCCAAATAATGACATGTTACAGTCTGTTATGAGTACTCGCAGTTTTATGTTTTTAAATCCTCATCTCCACTGTGAAATAATTCCTAAAACGTTGTAACGGCTTATTATCATGAGCAGCCTTCCATTTTAATTTTAATATTCACAATCAAATGATAACCAGAGAGACCTAGTATGCTAACTTCAGTAGTAGCTGGATAAAATTGTGATGCCCCTTTAGAAATAGCTCTTAATACAAATTTATGCCCAGGAATATAGACTTTGTTTACACCATAAATTGTTTTAGATAATGAACAAGTAATCAGACAATACAACATATACAATTAATTAAACAATTTATTGAAAATGCATCATAAAAAAACTCTGAAGTGATACTAATAATCGGTGCATCAGCAGGAATAAAAACAAAAATGAAAACTTGACAAAAACCTACAAAAACTGGAAATAATTTAAATAGCTAAAAATAATCCAAATAGATTTAAAAAAAAAAATGGATTCCCTGTTTAGATGTCCACTGCCTCCTGTGAAGTAGTTAATCAGGCATCCTCGATAACATCTGGACAGCTTCTGACATTGTTTGTAGTAAAAATTCCTTGAGGTTTCACTCTGGCAGGGATAGTGGCGCATCATGGGCATACGTTTTCCCGAGTGCCATGATAGAGGAACGGAAGACCAATACAGTGTTTTGTACGCATTAGGTTTTTTCTCCCTGCAAAGATAATAATTTACACCTGTTCATCTCCTCAACTGTTGTAATTTTAAACTTATTATTTACTATGTGTATTGTTTTGTGTATTGTTTTGTACTATGTATGATGGTACTATGTTGTGAAGGCTTTGCTGATGCCTGTCATAAAAAAAAATATATATAATGAAAAAAAAAAATCTCTTACCGTATTGAGGGAATTCTTGTGAAGTGAGTTAGCTTTTTTCTACAGATATGTTGATGAAACATATTTAGTTTTGGACACAGAAATGAGTAAAGCATTGCAGACTTGACAGATGGGGCATAGAAGCATTAGATATGTGCAACTGGCCCTCTTGGACAGCTGTAATAGTAAAGACAGAGTGAAAGATTACATCAAATTCTGCCCAATTAGCAACAGCCAAAAACACTAAATCACAACTATATAATTTGTCTGTTACTGGACAGATGGAGCAGACAGCTTACGGCATTTGCTTCTGTTTCAATACATTTCTGTGTATAGAATTAATAATTTTTAAACAGCCAAATGTTCCTGAGAAAATCTTCTCTAAAAGGCATCTGCACTGAGAGAGGACTTGGATAAATTAGGAGGCTTGGCAGGCAAATGGCAGACAACTTTAGTTATGCCTTTTGGGATGACGAAACGTCCTCTCCTCCTCCCCCCCAGCAGATAATATCCTTAATGGGGTGAGGTGGAGATAACTGTAAACCAAAAGGACTTGGGAATAATTATAGGCAAGAGGCAAATCAATAATAGGCAAAGTAAGCCCCCCAGAATGTAAGCTTTTTTGAGTGGGGCCCTCAACACCCTCTGTCCCTGTGTGTCCAACTTGCAAATACTTGTCTGTTAGTACTCCTATTGTACAGCACTGCAGAATTAGTTGACATTTTAAATACAATAACAATAATAACAATGTCACCGGTGGCAAAAGATAGTAAGGTACAGACATACATATAAAGGCGTTTAACTTCATATGAAGAAACCATCATTTTGCCACTTTGTAAAGCCAAAGTAATGCTCCATCTCAAATATGCAATGACATTTTAGGCAACGGTTTTTAAAAAATTCTATTAAGGAATTTGAAAAAGTGCAAATATAATAAGCAGAATGAAACATTCTAAATATGAATTAAAGGTAAAAACAAAAAAAGGCTTCCTTTTAGATGGAGTAAAATATACCCTATAAAAATATACACAGGGTGAGTACAAACAGCGGTTTATACTGTAACGTGCTAACACAAAGTATCTATATGTTGTGACCACACTATTAAGGCTGTTTACATTTTTAAAGGACCACTATAGTGCCAGGAAAACATACTCGTTTTCCTGGCACTATAGTGCCCTGAGGGTGCCCCTACCCTCAGGGTCCCCCTCCCGTCCGGCTCTGGAAAGGGGTTAAAACGTACCCTTTTCCAGCGCTGGGCGGGGAGCTCTCCTCTTCCGATCCTCCTCCTCTCCGCCCATTCGGCTGAATGCGCACGCGCGGCAAGAGCTGCGCGCGCATTCAGCCGGTCGCATAGGAAAGCATTTATAATGCTTTCCTATGGACACTTGTGTGCTCTCACTGTGATTTTCACAGTGAGAATCACGCAAGCGCCTCTAGCGGCTGTCAGTGAGACAGCCGCTAGAGGCTTTGGAGGAAGGCTTAACCCATTCATAAACATAGCAGTTTCTCTGAAACTTCTATGTTTATAAAAAAATGGGTTAACCCTAGCTGGACCTGGCACCCAGACCACTTCATTAAGCTGAAGTAGTCTGGGTGCCTAGAGTGGTCCTTTAAGGTGAGCCTAATTTAATCACAACTTGCATTTTTTAGATTTAAGAAAGAACAAACTTGCTTAATTTCTGGACTACCTCAGGGGGATATTATTTCAATTTTCAGTAAGTCCTACAAACCAGTTTATAATTTCAGTTCTGAGAGGTTCCTTAGGCTCTGGAAAGACCATGGTCAAAATAAGGAGAGGAGAAGTAGATGTCATTCCGAATACGGTTTACTGCTGCAAGCAAATTCTATGGATTATTCATTGCACTATAAACTTTAAACATTTCAATGAAACATTTAATTGAAAAAATAATCAGATTGTCAGAGACTTTTGTTTAAAGATCTGTACCTTTTGAATGAAGCCACTCTGTAAATCGTAAAATAAAGCATTCTGCCAAAACACGAGAAACACAATTTGTAAACATCAATATTCCTTTTGATCTAATCAACATTCGATGAGTTGTGTCGGTATGACCGGTTAGTTCTTTAATGTAAAAGAGTAGAAGGAAAGGAATATGCAATTTGAACATCAAATACAGAACATCTTAGTAAAGATAAAAAAGGAAAGTTGACCCAGTTTATTTATTGTTAACATTTCAATTAATTATACTGTATTTCCCCATGTAAAATATTTTTGTCCATTGTCTTTATTTAAAATTTAACTTTAAGCACCATAACAACCTATACTCATTAAAAAAAGGTTCTTTATTTAATAAAATGAGAATTACTAGAAATTCAAAGTGAATCCAAAGTAAATTTTAAATTTAAAGGGACACCATAGTCACCAGAAAAACTACAGCTTACTGTATTTGGTCTGTTGAGTAGAATCATTCCCTTCAGGCTTTTTGCTGTAAACACTGTCTTCAGAGAAAATGCAGTGTTGACATTACAGCCTAGTGATAACTCTACTGGCCACTCCTCAGATGGCTGCTAAAGGTGCTTCCTGGGGCAGGGCTGCACAGTGAGCAGCATTGCCATTCAGTGTCTCCACCCTCTGCATGCAGACACTGAACTTTCCTCATAGAGATACATTGATTCATTGAGGAGATGCTGATTGGCCAGGGCTGTGTTTGACTTGTGCTGGCTCTGCCCCTGATCTGCCTCCTTGACAGTTTCAGACAATCCTATGGAGGAATCATTGTGATTGGCCCACAAAATCACCTCGGATAATGTCAGGCAAGCAGACAGATCAGGGGCATAGGCAGTAGCTGTAGACTTGAATGTAAGTTAGATTTTATTATATTTAGGGAGGCAAGGAGGGGCTAGATAGTGGTTTGAACACTATATGGTCACTATATGGTCATACATGTTTGCTTTTCTTACCCTTTTAGGCCAAATTAGTGAAACTGAAAGCAGTAATCACTGGATATTTTTTTCTAATTCAGCTATTTTGCCTACATTTTGATATAGCCTTTGAATTTACTTTGCATAACCAGTCACTTTAGTGAATAACTACGTTTGTGTTTGGGGAGTGGAACTGCAGTGGTAAACTTAAATATATATTATTATTATTATTATTATTATTATTATTATTATATGTATGTTGTACATGGATTTATAAGATGTGAATGTCCTGACGTATATTTAGAATTTTGATATAGTATTATATTTAAATTTATTTATAATGTGGTTTTAGCTTGCAGTTGTTGAAGTCCCGCCACCTTCAAAAAATAAAAATCATTTGGTTTTGGCTAATGCTAAAACTAAAAAGAAACAAGTAGAATTCAGTTTTCATTTTATTTTTAAAAGATTGAAATATAAAATGTTTCATATACTCCATTTTTAATTAGAACTTATTGACTCCTGTGTGAACTTGCAGAAAATGAAAATAGAAGTAACAGAAGGGATTGCTCATTTAGCGAGAAATGTGATAAACTTACTTGAAAATATTTCTCAAAAATGTGAAAATTCTAACTAAAAATTAGAAAACATTCTTGCAAAGAGAAAATGAAAGCATAGGACATATGTTATGTCATATACATCGGCTTCTAATTCGGGATTATTCTAGCTCCTAGTGACTGAATAATCTAAATTTTATTAAAGACAGGAGGTGAATATTTGCGTATCTTTCTTTACTGTAACTCCCAGCAGCAAAGAAACAGTTAACAGCAGTGTAAAAAAGTTTAACCAATCAGTATGCATTACAGTAATATAAACTGTCATCAGGCTCCTCCCAATTCCTCTTTCTTGATGTAGCCGAACAGCCGTAGAGTCAACCATGTAAACGTAGAACCATTAAAAATGATGAACAGGTAACGGTGTAGGTATCCGGTAGGATGAAGGTAGTGATCAACCCGCAGGTAGATTCGAGACAGAAGGCAATTGATCTTCACACTAGGAGGAAGGAGAAACATCGTGAAAGTATGGTCTCTTTGGCAAGAGAAAAATCAAAGTAAATGCAGTGAACTGACTTCCAATTTAAGTGCAAGCTCTAACTTATGATAATTAACTGTGTGGTATGTAGAGTAAGTGACACACCTAGAATACAATAAACCAATGTACAATTGAAAGCGGTTTAGCATATAATAACGACCTAATGAGTATAGGCTAGAGAAAAGAGAGGATGCTGGTCATAGTTAGAACTGGAGATAGTGCAGGATACTTACCTAAAAGGGTGGGTAAGGAGAATCCAGGGTGGGAAAATATTCACCTCCTGTCTTTAATAAAATTTAGATTATTCAGTCACTAGGAGCTAGAATAATCCCGAATTTTATGGCAAGACAGGAGGCTTCATATTTGCTATTTTAACGCACAGATAGCAAGGACAGAGAAACGTGTGGAGAATGTCTAAAATAAAAAGTACGGAAGGTGGATTCTCTAGACCAATCAGCGGAGGATAGAATCTCCGCTAAGGAACCTCCAGCTATGAGTGCCGAGGAGGCGGCTGCGCCTCTAACCGAGTGAGCTCCGAAAGATGCATCAATGCCAGCCAGGGCTAGAAGCCATTTAATCCATCGTGCAATGGTAGGGCACGAGACTGGTTTGTGAGGTCGTACATAAGATACCAGGAGGGGCCCAGTAGGTGCTCTGAGAGGGGTAGTGCGAGCGATATAGTGTCTTATACACCGGGCTACGCAGAGGAGGGGTTTCTCCGAGAAGTAAGGGTAGCTCACAGTAGATGAGTTGGTCTTGGTGCGTTTAGTGATATGAAAGTGCACCCCCTCCGGTGTGAAATCGAGGGCATGAAAGTCGAAAGCCCTGATGTCAGAAACTCTTCGGAAGGAGACCAAGCAAAGGAGGAGAGCTAATTTGGCTGACAATTGGCGTAGGGAGAGTGCCTTGTTGTCCGGCCAAGCTTCCAAGAACGTGAGCATGATGGCCACGTCCCAGAATTGATTATATTTGGGAGTCGGGGGTCTAGCGATGCGGATGCCCCGCAAGAGTCTACAGACAGAAGGGTGTTTGCCTACTGAAGAACTTTCGATAGGAACGTGCGCTGCAGAAATAGCAGACCGAAACACGTTAATGGTCCGGTAGGATTTACCCTGGTCGAACAGAGACGACAGGAAATTGATAACATTAATTATAGATGTTGAAAAGGGATCAAGGTTCCTTTCCAAGCACCAGCAACTCCATAGACGCCATGCAGAGATGTAAGAGCGTCTGGTTCCCGGGGCCCATGAATCCCAAAGGAGTCCCTGAGCAGTTGTCGAAAGGCCTGAGACATTCCAAGATCCCCTGAAACGGTCCAAGCCACTAGTTGGAGATGATCCTGGATTGCCAATGGGTGAAAGTTGCCTGTCGGGTCTCTGAGGAGGTCGCAGGTGTTGGGTAGCAGCAGGGGGAAGTCCACAGACATTTCCAGGAGGTAAGGATACCATGGTTGGGCCCGCCATAGGGGTCACTAGTGTTATCTTGACACCCTGAGTTTTGAGGTGCTGTAGTGTGCGTGGAATCATGGAGAATGGAGGGAACGCATATGCCCCGGACATCGGCCACGTCTGTAGGAAGGCATCGACTGCAAGGCACGCTGGGTCCGGCAACCAGCTGTAAAAGGCGTCCGTCTGCCTGTTGAGGCGAGATGCAAAGAGGTCCAGGTTGAATGGCCCCCGGCAGACCTGGAGACGGTGAAATATCTGTGGATTCAGATGCCAATCGCTGGAGTCCCTCCAGTGTCGGGAGAACCAGTCTGCGACGAGGTTGTCTGATCCCGGTAGATATTCCGCTCGCAGGGAGATATTCCTGTCTAGGCAGAACTGATATAATTCTTTGGTCAGATCTGAAAGCATCTTCGATTTGGAACCTCCTAGATGATTCACGTAACGAACTGCGGACACGTTGTCCATCTTCAGCACCACGGAACAGTTGTAGACATCTTTGGCGAAACTGCGGATTGCGAATGAGCCTGCAATCAGTTCGAGGCAGTTGATATGAAGTGCTCGTTCCGAGTGGGACCAGAGTCCTCCTGTAGAGCTTTCCGAGCAGGTTGCGCCCCATCCGAGCAGACTTGCATCCGATTCCAGGATGAAGTCTGGTTGGGATCCGAAAATGGCTCTTCCATTCCAAGCGTCCATATGTTGTAGCCACCAATGGAGTTCGAGCCGGACTTCGTCCGTGAGTGTGATCTGTTGGTCATAGGACGTCGACTGATGTAAGTATTGGGTCTTCAGGCGTTGCAGTGCCCGGTAGTGCAGTGGGGCAGGGAATATAGCCTGTATTGAGGCGGAGAGCAAGCCGATGGTGCGGGCTAGATCTCGCAGGCGGAGGTGTGGTGATATCAGTAACCTCCGAATGTCTTTTTTGATGGAAGTTGAAGGACTGCTTGAACAGAGTCTATCTGGAATCCCAGGAACTGTATCGTCTGGGACGGTGTTAATGATGATTTCTGGTGATTGATCACGAAACCAAGATTCTGCAATAGGGCGGAGGTCATGCTTGTATGAAGGTGGAGAGTTTCTTGGTCTTGTGCCATGAGGAGGATATCTTCCAGATAGATTATGGATCGGATGCCTTGGGAGCGCAGTAAGGCCATCACTGGTTTCATAAGTTTGGTAAAGCACCAGGGTGCAGAAGATAGGCCGAAGGGGAGGCATGTGAACTGCCATAGTGCTTGTTCCCAACGAAACTGAAGGAGGCAGCGGTGTGCTGGTGTTACCGGCACCGTTAGGTAGGCATCCTTTAGGTCGAAGCGGGAGAACCAATCTCCCTCGGAGAGTAGGTCTCTCAATAAATGGATCCCCTCCATTTTGAAGTGACGGTATGCGATGAACTTGTTCAGATCTCTCAGGTTGATGACAGGTCGTAGACCTCCTGATTTTTTGTTGACTAGAAACATGTTGCTCATGAAGATCTGTGGGCCAACAACTCTTTCGATCGCACCCTTGGTGAATAGATCGTCGAGTTCGCTCCGTAGAGTCGACTCGTCTAACAGTGACATTTTGATTGGGGTAGGAGGAAAATTTTGTATTGGTTCGACTGAAAAATCCAGGTGGAACCCGGACACCGTCTGAAGGATCCAAGGATCCTGAGTGAGTTGAGACCACTGTTGGGAAAAAAGGGTTAACCGACCTGCAATAGGAATATGAGAATAAGGAAGGTCCATTACCTGTAGCAGTGCGACCGCGGAGGGAAGCGGATCCACGTCCTCGGATAGCTCCGCGAGTGGGAAAAAATTGTCTGTGGTGGAATCGGGTATTGCCCGAGTTCCAGGTGTCTGAAGGTCGAGGCCTGTAGCCTGTGAAGGCGGCTCTGCCAGTCGCTCGGCCTCTATAGCGACCAGCTCTTCCAGAAAAACGCTGAGTGCGAAATACCTTGCGAATGGAGGACTGTGCTTTTGTCAGTGTAGTAAAAACAGAGACGTGCTTACTTAGTTCTTTTATGAACTTGTCTCCAAATAACATGCCTTGAGCCTCTGGACCAAGTTCTTTAGTGCCCAATTCGGCAAGTTTGGCATCGATTTTATAAAGGACGGCCTTCCGCCGTTCAGTTGATATTGCCACATTGGCATTGCCTAAAAGGCATAAGGCTCTTTGTGCCCACTCTCGCACCATATGTGCATCAAATGTGCCACCTGATAAAGCCTCGTCTGCAATTATGAAGATTTGTATTAGTGGGCCCACCACATCCATCAACTTGTCCTGAGTGGCTTTCAGACCCTGTTCTAGACCCTTACGGGGGTCTTTTCCTGACTTGGTTAGAAAGGTCACAAGGAAAGGGTCGAATTCGGGTGTATTGGCCACCTTGTCTGGGACAGAGGGGCGTGGGCATTCTGCCCTTAATTTGGCTCTCACCTCTTTTTCTAAAGGCCGACGGAGCCACATTCTGCAGTATTTGCCAATGTGATCAGGGGGTGTCCATTCGGCCGATCTAGGGTGCCTGATGCATCTGGGGTCAAATAAAGGGCGGCCAGAGGTGTCAAATAAGGTATCCTCTTTCAAGTTAGGGTTTTCAGAGGTGAGATCAGACTCCAATTGGAATTCCTCTAGAGGAATGAGGGGGGGTTCATTAGTTGCAGAATCGGAAGGGTAGAGGTCTCGGAATGTCTTATGAGGTGGAGCCTCAGTATCCGAGTGTTCTGCGTAGTATTCGTCTAATACGTGGAGATTATAATTAGAGGTTGAACCCTCAAATGCGTCAAAATCATGTTGGGAGGAGGTTTGCTTGGGTTTAGAATAGGGCACTTTAGGGTGTTTAGGAGGCGCTTTGCCTTTACCGGCGGTGGCGCTATCGCCTTTCCAAGGGCGTTTGCGAGGGGCTTCTTCATGCTCTGAAGCGTGAGAATCCTCGGAGTCTGAGAGTTGGGTAATGGTCGCCGTAGGGGCTGGGATTGTCTGCTCGCGGAAAGCCGCTAAAGCTTTGGGTATAGATTCAGTAATGGCATTGAAAAGCCAAGCCTTAAGTTCGGCAGAAACTGCTGGTTCTGGCACATCCGACATAATGGGGTCACCACAAAAGAAATTAATTATTATATTTACAATATATATAAAAAGTTTTTTTTTTTTTTTTGTTTTTTTTTGTGCAGACAAATTAATTACAATGAGGCGGTGGACTTAGACTGCATGTAAAAAAGCAATTATCCTGTAAAAGTGGAGTTCGTCCACAATTTATCAGTGGGGTTCACCCAGAGAGAGAAGGACAATATAGTGTCCAAGATCTAATAACAGGTATGTGCCTGTGTTATCATATAGGGATTACCCTGTATAGAGACAGCAAAGGGGGTCACCCTTGAAGGAGAGGCTAGAGGGGGTCACCCTCAGAATAAAGGCTGGAGGGGGTCACCCTCAGAGTAAAGGCTGGAGGGGGTCACCCTCAGAATCAAGCAAGGATTTGTGTAAGCTGTGTTGGCAGTTATGCTGAAATCTGCAAGAAAAATTGAAGTTTTGAGTATTGGGTATGTCTTTAATTTTGTAAAACTAAAGGGTCTGGGGCTTTAAGAGAAAAAAATATATACTTACCAAACGGCTGGGTCGCGTCCTGCAGTGAGAGCCGAGATGCGAGGGAACCGCCGAGCATAAGCCTGCCACAATATGGCGCTGAGATGGAAGCCCGGGAAAAGACTAATAGAAATGGCCGCGGCATGAAAAAAGGCGGGAAACGTCTCTATGGAGACGGCAGGGCAACACACATTGTGTGTGAGGGAACTGAGCGGCTGAGCGGACCGGCAAGATGCCGGG